AAAAAAAAAAATCAATAAAATATATTTTAAAAAATAAATAAATAAAGTTCTTTTGATATTGGACAATGACTCTGACCACAGAGACTTCCATAAGTTCAACATCAAAGGCATCAAAGTGGCCCAGCCAGTGTGGCTCAGTCGTTGAACATCGATCTATGAACCAGGAGGTCACGGGTGAATTCCCGGTCGGGCACATACCTGGGTTGTGGGCTCAGTTCCCACTGAAGGAGGCAGCTGATGGATGATTTTTCTTTCATCAAAGGTATTTCTATCTCTCCCTCTCCCTTCCTCTCTGAAGTCAATTAAAAATATTTGTTAATATTTTAAAATAAAATAAAAACTTTCAACAATGTTTTATCCTTTTTAGAGTACAAGTTTTGAATTTTTTTAAAAAAATGTATTTATTCCAAAGAATTTTATCCTTTTTGAAACTACTGAAATAAAATTTCACTTTCAGATTGTTCACTGCTAGTGTATAGAAGTAAAATTGCTTTTAATATATTGATCGTGTACACTGCAACCTTCCTGAAAACATTTATTATTTCTAAAAGTATTTTTAGTGAATTCCTTAGGGTTTTCTACATACATGATCATGTGATCTATAAATAGAGATCTTTACTTCTTCCCTTCCAATTGATGGCTATTTCCTTTTCTTACCTAATTGTCCTAACAAGAATCTCCAACACAAAGTTGAAATAAATGGTGAGATGGTGACGGTAAAAATAAATAAATAAAAAGAAGCTAAGGGATGAGAGCAGACATTCTTGTCTCATTCCCGATTGTAGGGAGAAAGCACTCGGTCCTTCATCATAAGATATGATTTTAGCTATGGAATTTTCACAGATTACCTTTATCAGGTGTTTAGGTAATTGTTCTTTTCTAACTATGAGGTGTGTTAGATTTTGACAAATGTTTTTCTTTCCAGTCTATTGAGATAATCATGTGGATTTTGTCTCTTATTCTATAACATAGTGTATTACATTGATATTGAACAAACCTTGTATTCCTAGGATAAGTTCTATTTGTATATGGTGTATAATCCTTTACATACAGAGGTAGGCTAAAGTAATTAATACAATAATAAATAAATAATACAAGAATAAATTCTGTATTTCACATACACCAACCAGTTCCATCTCTGCCCCTCCCACCAGTCTTCACCTGGCTGCTTTTTTTAAAAAAATCTTTAATTAATTATTTCAGATGTCCCGTTTTTTTCCCACCATTGCCCCCTTCCACCCAGTTCCCGCTCTGCCCTGGCCTTCACCACCCTGTTCTCTGTGTCCATAGATAATGCATATATGCATATAAAATCTTTGGTTAATCTCTTCCCGCTCTCCCCCAGCCCTCTTCCCTCTGAGATTCATCAGTAGATTCCATGTTTCTATGGCTCTGATTCTATTTTATTCATCAGTTTA